GGGGTATAGACAATCCCTTTTAGAAATCCCATTCCAGAGTAGTGTATCTAGATTCTTTTTCTCAGACTTTTATATAACAAATACATACCTGTGATAAATGAACATGGTTCTGAAACTTTCCCTTTACCCAATCAGTCATCCTTAGGACTCTTAAAGAACTGTGTATATGTGTATATTTTATTATGGCAATTTTCTAACACACCCAAAAGTAGTAGGAATAAAATGGCCTTCTATGTCATTATATTCCTCAGTTATCAACATTTTGCTACTCTTGATTCATCTATTAACCCATTGTTTTTTCTTGTAATATTTAAACTAAATGCCAGACATTATATTTTTTATGATAAATAACTCTACATTTCCTGCATTTTGAAAGTGAAGTAAAAATTTGAGGCTAAAAATTGGTTAAATGTGTCTGAAATTAAGATGGTACCATTCTAATTAGCTTTGTTCCATGTTGATAAGTTTTCTTTTCTAGGTTTTTGTCTTTCCTTGACTGCCACCAAAACTCTTATTTTGTTCTTGTCAAATCCAGCAAATTATACTGGTCCTGGTATAAACAGAGTATGGCAACTACACAATTTATGTGTATGTGTAAGTGATTTAAAAACTGTTTTCATTGACTGTTTCTATTTCTTGGTAGTCAGATCATGAGTGTAAGATTTTTACTTTAGGCATAAAATCATTACTTTCTTATTAAGAACTATGAATTTACACATAGGAATGGGGTGGGTATTTTGAGTACAGGTTAGTAAAGGAAACAGGGTCATTGGGGGTAGACCTAGGCAAATGTGATTTGGATTCTATTAGAGTTAAGAATTTATTTCACAAGATAGTCCCGTGTATGTTTATGCTCTGAAACTAGGATAAGTTGGCTAGCTTTAAAAATAAAAGAACAGGAAACTTTTGATAGTTTCTACTTTACTTGTGTTACTTATATGCTCAGTCTAGCCATAGTATTTCTGAGACTCTTGAGTCAGTGACTAATGTCTTTTCAGCGGAACTCCCACCTCCATATACAGCCATTGCCAGTCCAGATGCCAGTGGTATTCCAGTAATAAACTGCCGAGTGTGCCAATCTCTTATCAATTTGGATGGCAAGCTTCATCAGCACGTGGTTAAGTGCACAGTTTGCAATGAAGCTACGGTAAGTGGAGATTTCCATTAACAAAAGCATATTTGTTATCTGATATCCTCTCCCTAAAGGAAGTGCTCCAATAATGTTACTTAAAGGTAGATGCGGGCTGGATGCAGATATGGCCATACTTTTTCATCCTTTCTCTCCTCTCTTTCCTTTTTATTGTATACAGGGATGTCTTGGGGTGTTTAAAGCTAATTCCATTATGAAAATTTCATGGTGAATTTAAATATAATATCATTTGGTTCTTTACTTTCTAAAATAAGATGGACTGTAGACAGTTATTTTTTTTTCTACACAGGAGTGTACACAGTTATTTATAATTCTCTTCATCACAACTAAATCCATTCTGATTTTCACTGAATGAAAACATACTATAGTTCACTTCAAATGTGGACTTCGTACTTATTATATGGAAAATTATTTAAACTTGTTTTATGTCTGGGGGATGTCTGTTTTTTTTTTGGCTTTTGTGATTATGCATTTATTATTGCTATTTGTGCCAAACTGTTTATGAAGAGCTTGGTATTTTACTCCATTTACTTGATATTAATGTAGTGAAATGTTCAAAAATTTGAAGGGCACATTTTTTTTTAACTAAACTTTATGAAAAGCAGCTACATTTTAAGTAAAAATCTTAGTTTCACATAATAAACTGGTAATGTATGTACTGGTTAGATTAAGTATATTTCTATTTTCATGGTTAGGCTTTATTTTTAAAATTTCAGTCTCTCAAAATCTACCATTAAATATTAATTTAATTTTGGCATTGGTATTTTTTTCCATTTTATAAAAGTCTAAAAATAGTCAGCCAATCATTATTGTGTCTCTAAGAGCCATAAAACATGGATACTAGGCTTATTATATGTTTTATACAAATGTCATAAAATAAAACCTTAAGTCATGAAACAATGTATTTCATTGTAAATACTGTAAATATTTTTTTCTAGGAGGGACATCATTTGGAGAAGAACTTTACAATATAAATAGGTGATGCCAACACCAGCTATTTCCTTTTTAAATTAAACACTCACTAGCAAATTTAATTAGCATTGATTTCCTTTAGTGTTCTTTTTAGAGTTGGTAAGAGTTAGACATAAATACAATTTTAAAAAGTACCACTGCCTAAACATGTCCTTGGATTTGATATTAGTGTTAAATTTTTCTCCTGTTCCTCCTCCCATACAAATTTTTGTTCTTTAATGAACAGAAAAAAAGGAGTTTCAGCTTTATATATATACTTGGAAGTAAGTGGAGCAAACTGTGTTGTTTATGCAGGAATCTCAAAGTCACTCTGGATTTAGCCAACAGCCTCAGTCTGGCTGCTTGCAAGTGATAAATTCATACCGGATCAATAGGATTGGGCTACAAATAAACTACTTTTGGACATAAAGAAAATCATGCTGAAGTTTTTGTATCATTACTATCCCTGTTAAGTAAAGAAATGCATAAAATTGTGCAAATTCTAGAGGAAATGAATAGTATCTAATCAAATTGCCTTGTGTGAAATCAGTAACCTTACAGAGGAGGAAAAAAGTGAGAAAAAAAAGGTCTTTGAAGAGTGTTTTAATGTAACTTACCAATGTTTGTGGTGTAATTTGATCTTAAATTTATGAATGAAGAGGTGTTAGGCAACTAAGAGCTTCTCTGGAGAAAGTCCAGCTTCAAAAAATCAGATTCAGTGGACCAGGGCCCAGCATTACAGTTCCCTTATGTTAGTGTCACTATCATTGTCCCCTGCTCATTTCTACTGTGATTCATTCTCCTCATGTAAACCTAAAATAGGGTATCAATGTATCTGTTCTCCTGGGCAGCCACCTCTGATAGGAGCCTGATAGTCCTGTGGAGATTGAAAAAAACCAAAACATATCAAACAAAAGAACAAGGCTAATACAAATCCTTTTTATTAGAGTAGACAGAATTGGGAAGGGAAGTAAGGAATGTATGGATGTATGTGTTTAATATGGACAAATTTTAGCAAGACTTATAGAATACAAAATTTAAGGTTAAAGGAGAAGTAATTTCTAGGATGAAGTTAATGGAAAATTTGAGAAGTCCTGGAGAAAGACTGGAGCTTGTTGACTTCATAACCGATTATGAGTCTGAGATTTGGAGGCTGACAGAACAGGGTTTGAATCCCACAGCCACTTAGCAGCTATAGATTCTTGGGGACTTCCCTTTTCTAAATTGTGCTTTTCTTATGTAAAGTGTACATTGATAATAATACCTACCTCATAAGGCTGCTGTGGGATTACAGGGGTAAAGTGCCCAGCACATACAAGTATATTTTGCCAAGAATATCAGAATTTCTGCAAAGGATGATGTCATTTTCCACCCATTTCACTGCAGACCAGGCATGACATGGTGTGGAGCTGCTACTGAGGACCAGTTCTTAAAATCTTCTACTTCAATCACCTTGTTTTACAGATGAGGAAACTGAGGTCTAGAAGTGAGGTGGGAATAAAATACAGAATAAAAACAAATCTTGTTATTTGCTAAGCATACATTTACTTAATGCCAAATTTGGATATTTAAAAATTAATCCAAATTCTGGTTCTCTTGATACTTTAGATAGTATAGTAATATGGATGTTCATGAATTTTAGGTTTTCAGATTTTATCTATAGTATAGTTTAATTGTAGGTGGTTTGTTGCTTACTTTTTTATATTGTATCAAGGTTATTACATTTTCAAAAATCCTTTAAAAATATGTTGCAGACTTACAGAAAAGTTGCAAAAATAATATTACATAGTAGAGACTTCCCGTAGGCCCTTCACCCACATTCTGCAAATATTAACATTTTGTCACATTAACTTTCTCTCTCTAAATAAATAATCTTTTTTTCAGAACCTTTTAAGGTAAAAAGAACATGTGTTCTACCCCTAAACATTTCAGTGTGAATTTCTGTAAAAAAAAAAAAGAGACATTCACTTACTCAATTATAGTACAATTATCAAATGAAGGAAATTAACACTGATACTATACTGTTATCTAATCTTTTGACCTAATTCATGTTTGCCCAATTGTTCCATTAAAAATAATTTTTGACTCAGTAGTGAATGCAGAATTACATGTTGCATTTGGGTGTCATATCTCTCTAATTTCTCTTACTCTGAAATTCAGTATTTGTCTTTTATTACCTTAACATTTTTTAAGAGTACAGGCAAGATATGCTGTAGAATATTCCTTAGTTTGGGTTTGTCTGATGTTCCATCATGATTAGATTCAGCTTATACATTTTTGGCAGGCATGCCATAGGAGAGATGTTCGGCTCCACTCAGTACCTCACAGGTTCTTTACTTTGACAAGCTTGAGCCCTAGTCTTGAAATACTTTCTTCGGTATTATTTATTCTTACTTTTAAATTTACTGTAAAGTCAAATAAAATGAAAGAATAGAAATGCTAGTGTTAAGAGCTAATCCAGGTTTTTTCAAATTTAAGTTAAAAGATGTAATAAAATTAATCTCTTTGTTGTATGAGTTAAGTTTAATAAAAGTTCACATGTGTCACGTACCTCTCTGTCCTGCTTTCTTACTGAGCTTAAGCTTCCCAGACAGGTACAAGAACCCTCAGTGAATGTTTGTGTCTGGCCAGAGAGATGACCTTCTCTGTCTTAAAACTTTAAAGGAAAAACAACTGTCTTTGTGCACCAAGTATTCCTCCTATATTAAAGAGCTGGTACAAACTAATTCTGAAATATGCCCTTCATAATTAAATCTCAGCAGCCAACAGAAATTCATATAGTGCTTGCCAGTATTTTAGCTACTTAAAACCACTTACGATGCACTTTTCCCTAAATTGTATTTAGGTAGCACTATGGAGAGCCTTAGTTTTTAAAGACTCATTTCCTTTTTACACACAAACAGGCTTTAGCTATCTGTACTATGGTTAATTTGTTGTGTTTGCATTTTCTTCCCTTATCTAGCCAATCAAAAACCCCCCAACAGGGAAGAAATATGTTAGATGCCCTTGTAATTGTCTCCTCATTTGTAAGGACACATCTCGGCGAATAGGATGTCCGAGACCCAACTGGTAAGAGATAAAAGATTCATTCATTCATTCAATTGTTCATTCAACAAGTGCTTATGAAAGGCTCATTATGCGCCACACTTTGTTCTAGAGTCTGTCCTAGAAGTAATTATAGGACCTAGATTATTTTTTTGTTGTTGTTAAAGGAACGATATGCTTAGTTTGAAATTAATGGTCACAGATATTTGTAAGATAAAATATTCTTCAATAAGCAATGAAAATTTTCTTGATGTTATGTAAGTATTTAATGCAGTGTAATAAATCAGTGACTCACTAAAATTATTTAAAAATAATCACTTAGTTTACCTTTGACATAATTCATCTTAACCTGGAAATGTTTAAATCATCATTGTATACCTCAGTATATGCTATGCTAGTCTCTGCTGAACATAATCTATGCAATAAGTCCTGGAGTTATTTACCCATGCCAATTGCCAGTATGGATGTGCCCAGAGAGGAGTATATCAAGACCTAAACTGTATTCTTCCTGTGATTTCTGGCTTTTTAAACCTTTACATGAAACATTTTCAACCCCATCTGGTGGTAGACTGGGGAGTAGAAAGGAATAGAGCCCCACATTTTCATTTCTGTCCAATACTGACTAAATGATCATCAAAGAAAATCAGAGAAACTTGGTTGTGACTCAGCACTTCGTTACCTTCATGGCACACACATTATTTGTTGATGTAGAATATTTTAACTTATTTAGTCTTCTATCAAACTCAAGTTTTCTTCCTACATAGAGAATAATAGTAACTTTTTTCTGATTTGGACTTATAAGAACTCAGAAATGGCAGTTAAATAGATCTCAAGGTGATTGATTGGGACCAACATCGTAATATATGGGTTCTATCCCAAGTACAAAAAGACTCATTTTTCTGCTTTTAAAATATTATTATTGCTACTTTCTGTGACTTTTGGCTCCAAAACCTGACATTTAATTCCCTTAATTTATAAAACAAGTATAACCTATTTTCAATGCTGCATACCATGGTTTTGGCCATATATCGCCCTCAGTCCATTTTGGGGTAATGAAGTGTTTCCTTCATTTTCCCAAAAAATGGACATTTTGCCCTCAGTCCATCTTGGAAATACTGAAGTGTTTCCTTCTCTTTCCACAGTAGACGCATAATTAACCTTGGCCCAGTAATGCTTATTTCTGAAGAACAACCAGCTCAACCTGCATTGCCAGTCCAACCAGAAGGTACGAGGGTCGTGTGTGGGCACTGTGGAAACACATTTCTGGTAAGTAACCAGATACGTGTCATAGCGGCATCAATCTGTAAATGTAAGTCATGATCATATGCATTTGACCATTGCTTGTACTCTTATAGTTTTGTCCAAGAGAAAATTGATCAGAAGATTGAAATAAACTCTTTTTAAGAAAGACAGTTAATCAAAGGTGCAGCTAGGTTGCACTGCATCTTTTATGAATTAGACAGAAGTTACATCCTCTGATAGGTTCGTTTTCAAAAGGCATCCCTCCAGGGAGGCTAATGAGAAACAATGCCCTTTCTTCCAGGTGTGGCTTGGCTTGGTGAGTGGCTGAATCTTGCTGTCCCCTCACCTGCTCTCTAGAGCGTAAAGTGCATGACACGGTTGCATGAAAAATTCAAGTAAAGATTCAAGAAAAATTCTTACTACAATTCATCAATAATATTTTGATTTTTAGCCTAGTAAACATAATGTCCTTCATGTAATTGTAGATTAATGATACCAAAATAAAATTTAAAAAAAATAATAATAATATTTTGATTTTTAAAAATTAAAATTGGAGTAAAGGGAATTATCTCTAGCATCTATAATTAGGTAAACTACTAGATTGAAAAATAAGGTGTAAGTAGTTTGAAATGACTGTTATAGAAGTTCTTGTTTTGCTTTAATTTTGCTTTTAACTTTAATCCTATGTTTGTTTTTAAAAATTAATTTCATCATGATTTACCCTGTCAGGAAGGTAAGCACAGGTTTTCTTTTGTTATTTAGCCTTCATGAGAGCAAAACTTTTCCTTAGAATCTAAGAATTAAAGGATTTAAGAAAGTAGAGATGAATTGCTTTTTTCCTTCTAATTTTTATTTTTGTTAGAGTAATGCATGTACATAATTTCAAATGTCAAATAAGACTATAAAGCTTATAGGGAAAATGGTGGTTATTTCTTTATCTAACACAAATACCATCCCCCAAATACTTTCAACTCTCTCATCTGCTCTGCTGGTATTTATTTCCATGTGTTTATTGTTTGCTTATCCTTTTTCTTTTTGATTAAGCAATTTCAGATATTAATTATTACCTTGTAAAATGCAAGTTAAGGATTTAGCACTTATACCACCTCACTGCCATCCATATCCCTTTCCTCAATTCTATACTCCTAGTAGAGTTATTTTATTCAATTAATACTTAGTGCTTACATTTTTATTAGATAAATTATGTTTACAGCTGATTCAAGTAACATCTGCATTTCTCTCCTGTATGGATTTTAGAATATTTTGTATTTGTTAATAATTGTCCATCCCCATTTTGAATTTGTTCAGTTTTCTATGTACACATCATTAGTTCTTCCTCTACTTTTTATGAATCTATAGAATTCCAGTCAGGAGAGTCAAGCACATCAAGAGAATCTGTTAAGTGAGTGCACAGCTACACAGCTGTCATTCTGGGGCCTCCCGTCCTCAACCCTAAGAATTCCTTTACCTTTGTCCTGTGTTGGAGGAAATGTCCTGGGTTTCCCATGCCATTTTCATAGTTCTTGGTTTATTCCTTCATTTTGGTGGAGCATACCCTCTCCTATCTTTCTGAGAGAAGATGCAGGGAAATAAATTTTAGCCCTTCTTGAACAGTTTTTAATCTAATCTCACATTTGCTTTATAATTTGTCCAGATGTAGAATTATGGGTTGGCAATTGTTTCCTCTCAAAAATGTAAAGGCTTTGCTCCACTGTTGATGAGGAGTTGAACTGCTTTTCTGACTCCTGGTCCTTTTTCTGGCTTTTCTTCCTCTGTATTTTCCCCTTAAATTCTCTCCAGTGCTCTGAAGTGGCTTAGCGTGTGCCTTAGGGAGGGAATGTTTGAACTCAGTGTTTGGGTCCTCAGTGGGTCCTCTTAGAGCCCATTTCCTTTGTTCCCTCTTCCTAGAAGTCTATATCAGATCACTTCAATTGTCTCTTTCCTTTTTTCCCCATTTTTTTTTTTCAGGTTAGGCTTTTTCTTACAGGGGAAGGGAACTTCCCCAACTATATTTTGTAAACTTGATTCAAAATTTTAATTTTAGATGATATAACATAATTTTTAATTTTCAAGAGTTTTCCTGTGTTCTCTGATTAATTCTTTTCCCTTTTTCTAATAAGCATTCCCTTCTTTATGGCATCTTTCTGAAGCTATTAATTATATTTTTTCTAATGTATTATTTTTCTTTATGCCTTGTCTCTGTTTTCTCCCCACATTCTCTATTTTTCTTTTGTGACAGAGGTTTTACTGAAAAGCTCCTTTATGTTTGAAAATAAGTCACTGACTAAAATCTCTTTTTCATGCATCAAGAATTAAAATTTTCTTTCTTTCTTTATTCTGTCTCTTCCCTCCTTCTTCTCCCTCTTCCTTTTCCTCCTCTTCCTTTTTCTTCTTCTTCCTTTTCTTTTGGAGAACTGTCAACTATTAGTATCAGTCATCCTTTTTTAGTAAGTTCCTCTGGAGAACAATTCTCTGATTTCTTATGAAGGATATGCCTGGACACAGCATTCTAGGAGCTAAGGAAGGTAACGGGCCCAGGTCTCATCCACTGTTCAAACTGTAGACTTTAACTTGTAATACCTTTGTTTTTAGAATGGTGCTTGATTATTTTCTTCTGCTTTGCCTGGTGTTCCTAAATTCACAAGCTCTCTAGTTCAGTTTCTTCTCAAAATAAATCACTCTTTTCTTGCATGTGTTGGAAAGGAAAGGAGTTTCAGGTTTTGTGGTGTGGAGGGAAGAGTTTACAACTGATACTGCTGTTTTTATCACTACCACCAGCTCCTACCTTTGAAAGCACCTGGTAGCCCCAATCCGTGAGCCATTCTGCAGGCCTTCAGTGTGAACCAGCCTGCTTTTCATTGGCTTCTCTCTCTGGAGGCAGCCAAATTTCAGCATGCCTTTCACTAAGTCAGATGCCAGGTCTCCTTTAGCTTTCCATCATCCAGAAACTGGAGGCCATTTCTTTCCTGATTCTCTTTGTCCTTATGGTGTCATACATTTTTTAATTCACTTATTAGCACTTTTAGTTAGGTTTGGAAAAGGAAATGGAAATGCAGGCATTTATCCAATTTATTGCATTTAACCAGATTTCTAGGATTTTTTAAAATTTAGTAGGACAAGATAAATCATTGCATTTATATCTTACTGATTAAATCAATGACTAAGTACATATGTTTAAGGATATACTTGGTGGGGATAGTTAAATTTCTTTTTAAAATATCGCTACATATTGATTTAATATAGGATAATAGGATAATACAGTCTTTAGGTATTGTTAGGTATCAAGTGATTTGACTAAGTCATATATTAAATATATTTATTATTGTTTTCTTTCTTATATGTGAACGAATTATATTTTGAGATACCATTAAAAAATTTTCAAAATAGTTTTCAACTTATGTCCATAAGCTCCCATCCATAATTGTGTTGCATTTGCATTTTACCCAGTTATGTTTTATATTTCAAATCTTTGCCATGGATAATCCTTATAGCCACATTATAAGTGAACTGATTTCACTTCTTAAAAAATATGTGTTCAGTGTGTACCAGGCACTCAGCCACATGCTGGGAAAACAGGAAGGTGTAGTCTCTGCCTTCATGGGGTTTTCTAATAGAGGGAGAAAGACAATTAATACAACAATTACATGAAATGTGTTTACAGAGGAGTAGGGAAATACAGAGTGTTCTTGGTAGGATACACAGAAGTGCTTAGCCTAGAGGAAATGACATTATCTTAGGAGTAATGGACAACTACAGTGGAACTTTATGATTAATCTGTGTATCTGGATGCTATGTACAGAATGGATTGCATAGAGCAAGAGTGAAGAGGCACAATACTAGACATTTGGCTTTTATTGTTCAGAAAGTGATGATAATCATGGTTGAGAATAGCATAAAGAATTTGAGAGAGAGAGAATTGACCATACTGATAATAAAGTAGATAAGAGGATGAGGGAAAAAGGAGAAATCAATGACAGTTGTTACCAAAGTTTAAATTTAATGTTTTGAAATAATCTGGCAGTGAATTCTTGAGAATGATCCAAATTGAGAGGTAAGATAGATATGTATGTGATGTGATTTATTTTTTAAAATAATGTGTGCATTTAGATATTTTCCCCCAGAAGAAAATTACTAAAGCAAAATGCAAGCCACAGATAAACTTCTAAAACTGGCCCTTTCTCACTTAATAGTCAGTACAACAAGCAAATGAGTCATATTAACATATTAGCACAGTAATTATGATTAGAAACTTTAATTCTTTAGCAGGAAAGGGTATTTTGGATTAATATACAGAATTTGAAGATGATTTCAAAATTCCTAGAAAATAAGGTTTTGGTGTTTAGGGGAACACAGTACATACTTACAGAGTGCCTGTTAGGTTTGAGAGTAGCGTTAGGAGAATAAACAGACTGCATAGCTCTTAATTCTGACTTGGGCACTTTGCCTTACCCTTATTATTATGCCAATGCTGAAAAGTCTTACATCCTTTGTAGTATATTCTTTGTCCTTCAAGCCTTTAACTATTAGGACAGTTCATTCACTAATTCTCTACCTTGTTTCAGTCTTGGCTTACCAGGCCCAAAAGCAATTGAGACACAAAAAATTCAATAGCACTGAAAATAAAATACAAAAAAATCATGGAGAATGAAAAGAAGGGCAGAAAAAATATGAAGGCATGCATAAGAATATAAGTATGCATAATATTTAATCCTGTGCAATTATTAAAATTAGACTGAATTTTAGCTGTAAGTCTTCTAGAGTCAATGAAAAGGGGAAAACATGATCTATTACAGGATATTCAACATGTTTTGAAAAATAGGTCACATAGGAGAACCTTTGTTGGAATACTAAGACTGGAGAGAATTATTCCCATGGATTAAGATAAAAGAACAATACAGTGGGCTGTGTTCTCAACAACATCCTGTGATTATAATAATAACATCCTGTAATATATCAGTGTTATAATGCTAAAGTTAAATTATCTAGAAATTCACACTATTCATTTCAGAGCTAATGAGAACCATACAGTGTTTAGAAATGTTAGATTTGTGGTTTCCAAAGTATATTCAATAAAACACCCATTTTATAGGTTAATAATAGGTGTTATATGAGTAAAGAATTTCATAGTCATGGGGAATTGCTAGGATAAGCGGAATTAAATAGAATTATTTTTTACAGGTGTATTTGTTAGCACTTTTAGCGTGCATTATTGTTAATATCCAGGAGGGAGCTTTAATATACTGTATACAAACATTTTGAGGGCATCATCTCAGGGTAGTGTTTTGAGAGACACTGCTTGGAAAATAATTTTTTAGAACACTAAAGCAAATACATAGCTTTCAGCTAGTTCTGCATAAATATAGAGAAGTTTCCTAAGACACCTGAACAATAGAGAGTTTAATTGCTCTTTTCTGTGAGTCGGGTGTTCTCTGTGACATGCAGTCCCAGATGATTTGTCAACCCATATCTGACTGCAGGGTTGGCATTCTTCAGTGAAAACTAACACAGCCTCCAATATATGCCTGCATCCTTGTCTCGCCAATGGGTTTCAGCCCCAGCAAGTTCACTATGGCTTTGATGTGACCAAAGAAATGACAGTAGAATGTTCTTGAGGTGAAAGGGTTATACCTAACTTTATTTCCATGGTGGCAGGTCAGTCACTAAAATCCTGTTCACTCAGAGCAAATCCGCATGCAGCCAGCCAGTCTCTGCCTCTGTGCCCTCTGCCTGCACAGCCGTTCCCTGGGCCTCTCTGCCCGCACAGCCGTCCCACACAGCCATCCTCTGGCTCTGTCCTCTGCGCTGCCACCACTCCAGCCTCTGCTTTGCTCTCCTGCAGCCTTGCAGCCATACCACCATGTTGCCCAGAGGAACGGGCGGAGCGCTTTACATAGAGTCAATAACAATGTACTGCCCACACGTGTGCAGTGAGCTAGCCAACCAGGGCCAGGTGAGGATCCTGGCCACAGGAACTCTCATTTTAGACACAATCATGATTGTTTAAACTCTGCCCAGAATTAGGCCAGTGTAGTACCTTCAAGAAAGATCATATTTTTCTTATTTGGACCCTGGGATATATGGTTTGGTGTCGTAGCAGAGAATGGAAATGGTTTTAACTTGAATATAGTTCAAAGTAATGACATCAGTTGCCTATTATATCCTTTAAAAATAAAATCTAGTGGGATACTATCAAATGACTAGTTTTTAGCCTTATAATTTTCTTATGAGCCTTTAAGACTGATAAAAAATATATATCTTGGGGAAACTGAATTTATCTCTTATATAGAATAGTTGAAAATAAGTCAGATAAATAAAGACCTCTATTGAAAAGATTGGGCTTTAGAGAAGTTGCCTTTCATCTTTCTGATGGAAAATAGGTAATTTTTTCCTATTGAGACTACAAGTTCTGGCAATAAAATTTTAAGAGGGCAGAGGCTGCATTTTGGATGAGGAACAGTAGTAAGTTAACTTTCTTTCAAAAACACAAGTATTTGCATTCATTTGAATAGATTATGACAAAATTATTTCTAATAATAGATGCTTCTATGTTCTTAGTTTGCTGCATGTTGAGTACTTGGAGATAACAAAACCAGGTGTGTTAGTTTGCTGGTTGTATAATTTACTAATTATACAATAAAGTCTTAGCTGTTTATAGTTACAATTGAGTTTACCATGAATAATCTATGCTAAAATGAAGACCACTATAAAATGGTAATATTGGGCTAGTCTCCTTCAACTGGTCATCTAAAATTCTAGAATACTATGCCAACATGTTAGCCTTCAGGCTTCAATTTTGATTTCCTCTTCATTCATTCAATTGTCTCCTCAACTACTTAGCTTTTTTTTACCTGTGAAAAACTTCCGTTTGTTATTTATAAGTAAAATATGTAATGATGTTACAAGTTCAGCAGCTATCCTAAAGCTAAATACAAAAACATGAAAAAAGTACTCAGTAAGATTTCTGTATTCTTTGTATCTTAATGTACTGAAAAAATTTCTGTAGAAACCTTTCCCACATTACTTCTGGCATTTTTACTATAAACAGTAGGTTTTGAAATAAATTGACTTGTCACAAAATAAGTAATGAAAGAAAAATTTACTGCTTCTTGAAAAAAAAGGAGCCTTAGTTTGACATTCTCAGATGTTGACAAATAATCATTTCAAAAAGAGTTAACATTCATGTTTCATTTCTAGTTTATTTATCTTTGGCCTCTGTTCCTGCTGTAATGGAGAGAGATCATTTCAAGGTTAACTAACTTTAATGAGGATTGAAAAAAATAGAAAGAAAGAGAAGCCCAGGGCAAACCCAAATTTATTGTTTTTTTTTAAAAGTTAGCCATTTAAAAACTATTTAAAGAGAAAAGAATCATGCATCATATACTTTCTGAAAATTATCTTCTATTGTGTGGAAAACATTTTAGTATGCACATAATTTATTGAAGCCTTATTATACCTAGAACTGGAAAGTTATGAAAAGAGAAGTGAGTGACCTGGCATCCTAAACAAAAATTAATTTTAATAAAAGAAAAACTGTTTTGATGATAAAACTCCTGAAGTAAAGGAATTCTCTTAAAACTATAAAGGAAATACATGCTTTACAAGAAGGTATATAGAAAAGTAAACAAGATGGAAGGTGTGAGAGGTATTTTTAAATGTACTTTTAGAGGTAAAGAGTTACTTTAAATTTATATCACTCATTCTTTCAAAGATTTTAACCTACTACTAGTAAACCATTTCAAGTATCTGAATAACAATCCTGTGAGAAGGTAGTGCATTCTAGTATTACATTTACAGGGAGAAATTGAAAGAGAAAGTTGCACCACAGGATTATGTTTTCACTCCGTAGAATAAGCAAGGATGGAATAGCACGGCAGCTTCCTGACTTGAGCTCTACTGTATCTGATATGTTTGTTTACTTTGTGGGTTTCCCACATTAATAGAATAAATATTCAGGTACCTAAAAGGCTATTCCTCAAGATGTAAAAGGAAAAAAATTTTGGAGGTATATGAAATATGTTTTTATTCCCTGGAGTGAATGGTGGAGACATAAGGCTGAAAGAAATGACACGATTTACAGCAGTCCATTCCTTTACATGGTAAAGCAAACCTAGACTGCGTCAGAAGCTTGAAAAAATCATGGGAACTATTTGAGAGGGGATTCCCAAACGTTATTTTAAGGGAGTGGGGAGAAATATTGGAGGGAAAAAGCTCATATAACCATGAGAAGGTGATTGCTTCTGCTGAGATCCCTGATGACATTTGAACTAAAAGAAACATCTTATCAGATTGGATAGTTTTCAGTTGTTTTTCTTTTCAATCCCTTTATTTATTTTACAGTGGATGGAACTGAGGTTCAACACTTTGGCAAAATGCCCACACTGCAAAAAAATGTAAGTTCTCTATCATTGGAAATGCTATTGAGAAGTACTTGAGTACAATTTAAAGAGTTCAGAATTCTTATTTAAGTAGATTTTCATTTTAAGACATGATATGGGATGACTGTGTGCTTAATGTATTTGTTTCGCAAGACTAAAAAAAAAGGCATCTTTAGATTGATTAATATTTTCCATTTTGAAATTGAAATGACTGGGCTTGATTTTCACTCTCTAAAGGGAAATAAGTTTCTAAGAGAGTTATGACTAACATTAATAGTAACCTGGTGAGGATTTTCAAATGTCCTAAGTGAGAGGTTACAATCTATTGCAAATAATCCAAATTTATATTTAAAAACTGAGTTGTAGTTGGCACATGAAAAAGTGCTCCTTATCACTAATCATCAGGGAAATGCAAATTAAAACCACAATGAGATATCACCTCACACTAGTTAGGACGGCCAACATCCAAAAGACAAGCAGCAACAAATGCTGGCAAGGATGTGAAAAAAGGGAAACCCTCCTACACTGCTGGTGGGAATATAAATTAGTTCAAACATTGTGGAAAGCAGTATGGAGGTTCCTCAAAAAACTCAAAATAGAAATACCATTTGATCCAGTAATTTCACTCCTAGGAATTTACCCAAAGAAAACAAGACTCCTGATTCAAAAAGTCATATGCACCCCTATGGTTATCACAGTGCTATTTACAATAGCCAAGAAATGGAAGCAACCTAAGTGTCCATCAGTAGATGAATTGGTAAAGAAGAGGTGTTACATATACACAATGGAATATTCAGCTATAAAAAAGAAAAGAAATCCTACTATTTGCAACAACATGGATGGAGCTAGAGGGTATTATGCTCAGTGAAATAAGCCAGGAGGGGAAGGAGAGGTATCAAATGATTTCACTCATATGTGGAGTATAACCACAAAACAAAACTGAAGGAACAAAATAGCAACAGACTCACAGACTCTGAGAAGGGACTAATGGTTACCAAAGGAGAGGGGTTGGGGAGGGTGGGTTGGGAGGAAGAGGAGAATAAGGGGCACTATAATTCACAGTTACAATATAGGCAGGTCACAGGGAAGGCAGTACAGCTCAGAGAAGACAAGTAATGGCTCTGTAGCATCTTACTATGCTGATGGACAGTGACTGCAATGGGGTGTTGGAGGGGACTTGATGATATGGGTGAATGTTGAAACCACAATGTTGTTCACGTGAAACCTTTGTAAGATTGTATATCAGTGATACTTTAATTAAAAAAATAGGTTGTAGTCTAGGAAAAAGACTAAATTGTTTGGGGTGTATAGTTATTTAATTTTGTCATCTCCTACCTAATAAGATTGTTATCTGATGGCAAAGTTTATATATTTATTTATCTATCTTAACTATTCAGTCTGTTTCTCTCCATTCCTAAATGGTGTACCTAGGGAAAATAACAGGAGGCAATATAAAAATGGAAAAAATATATATTTTGATTAAAGTCATGTATGGCAGCTGTGTTGGGGGTCCCCAAGTTCATGATTTTCTATAACTAATAGGAATGAGTATATATTTGTACTTGCAGTTGTGATTTATTGGCATGAAAGTGTACAAAGCAAAATCAGCAAAAGAAATGGGGCAAAGTCTGGAGGAAACTAGGAGCAAGTTTCCAAGAGTCCTCTCTTAGTGGAATCACACAGGATGCACTTAATTCCTTCAGCAGTAAAATGTTACAGTACATGTGAAATCTACCAGAGAAGCTCATTAGAGACTCAGGGCCTAGCATTTTTATTGGAGCTGGTCCCATAGACACCTACTATATAACACATACCACTCTCAGAAGAAAATCAGGTGTTCAGAATAAAGGGTATTGTTTGCACAAACAATTTAGATATAGTAAAGAAAATGGTTAGGAAATGATGGGAACTTTCTAGAAATCTCAGTTCCCAGATGCTAGCTAAGAACTAACATTACAAGCAGACCTTTCAAAGGATAGCAGACACATGCCTGATATATGAACTCTTCTGCATAGCATCTATTTTTGATAATAACATTTTAATATAAAAGTTATTGTTCTCCACTTATATGCATAAATTATAACTTAAGCTAGGTAAATTAAACTGGAATGTTTTGACAATTAAAATAGAAAATATGAGTTCATAGTTTAATTTGTTTGATCCTTAATATGATATAAATACCTAAATCTGTTCTGAGAGTAGAGAAATCCTAAGAATGATTTCTAGGAGAAAAGAATTAACAAGTGAGAAGTAAAATACATGTAATAAAATACCTCTATCTCTGCTAGATTTGATCCTCTAGCTAACTATATCTGTATTTTCATGAAACTGAAAAAAATTAAATTGCAAATATCTTCACCAAGAACATGAAATTGGATTACAAAATTCTACTGAAAATAAAAAGCAGAGACTTATAATTTGCAGACTGTGCTGATAAGTAGCTCAGTGATATTTGCTTTATATATACATAGTAGCTGTAATATTTCCAACAATTCTGGGATGCAGAAATTACTACCCTCATTTTACACATAAATATCTGCTACAGAGGCTAAGAATTTTGCTCAAGTGTTTTGCTTGGTTAATTATTTTAGAATACTGGCAGTATTTTACTACTAATAAATAAGTATTGAGTACCTAGCTATTCCATGATTGGTTAAAATATCACAAGACAGTGTGTTAATGTAAAGAAGAATTGATATCAATTACTTAAGGAACAACTTGAATAGAAATTTACATGGGATAAATCAGCTTCAGTATCAGTCTCAGAAGAATGTTTATTGAATTGGAACCACATGTGTGACATTGGAGGACTCGGCATTTCTTACTTATTTGAGCAAAGATGCTTTTATCCCATGAAGGCTCATGGCTTGTATCTAGATTTCTCTTTGAATGTTTCTCTTCAGACAAAATGCTGAGTCATCTATTGAAGTAACATTCTGAGCTGGAATTTTATTTCTTTAAACACAAATATCAAATATCCTAAAATTATTTTTAAGTTATAGGAGTTATTAATCACTCCATTTTCCCATCATAAAATGTGGGGAAAGCTTCCCCCAGGGCTCCAGAGATGAAGAAGCATTTTTTCATATGACTGTATCTTACTCCTGTGGTCACTGGGGCTATTGTAGCTGAAGATGAGGTTGCTGTTTCAGTGGGCAGCTTGTGGCCACCTCTGAACAGGAGATGTAGTCCCAACATTCTGAAATACAATCTGGACTATATTTCCATGCAAATGTTATGATGGACCTAAGACTAACTAACGGAGATGCCAATTTAATCGATGATAATGATCACTGAATATAATTACTCTACATTGCTGATGTACCCCCTTGTGGATCACCTCCTACCATTTTAAACAATAACAGACTTGTACTCTCTTTTATTTTGCTGTGTCGTGCTTTCTTTTATGATTCATGAACTCAACAAACAGTCTTATGCTAGGTAATAGTGCTTGAGATTAAAGATATAGCCTTGTCTTCAGGAAACTCAGTCTTGTAGGTATAGGGAAAAGAGTTGATAATTACACTGAAGTTTTAAGTGCTTTGAAAGAGGTATGCCTCACATGCTCTGCTCTGAAGAGTCCCTAATATAGATTGGAGAGAAAGGAACATGAGAGAAGCTTCTCAGGAGGGAGGGCCTAAGCTGTTCATGTTTAACATGAACTAAGTTGTTAAAGATGAGTGGGGATGTGTAAGAGAGGGTGGGATTTTTCTTTGTGGGAGGAGCTATCTGTACAAAAGTACACCGGAGTAAAAGGCTAAATGTGCTATTAAGGAAGCAGAATAGCTACGATTGAATGTGAAGGAATAAGAGAGAGATTGGGGTCAAGGATAACCCTACCTGAGAGGCTATGAAACTATTCACAGATAGAGAACAGAGGATCTAGAAGAACTGTGTCTGGCAGAGAGATAAGTTCATTTTGAATATATTAAAAATTGACACTCCTAAGTTTGCTAAATTGGCTAAGTCTTCAATCACTTGAAATTCAGATGCATCCACCTGCTTTTCAAACCACCAGTCTTGGATCAGTGTGACCATGGCTTCTTTCTTCCTTCGTCAAGATAACTAAAAGCTGAAAAAATTCTCCATTGATTAGCTCTTTACAAATGTGTAGCTTTGCACTTCAGCTGAACCCTTGCTTGATATTCCTTTAGGTGTCCTTGACTAACTCCCTCTCCCACTCTCCAAAGCAGTTATTTCCAGATATTTACTATTTTACCTATAGCTATGTTAACCTGAGTGTCCATAGGCATCTCAGATACAACATTCCAACTTCCTTACCCCACTATGCAAACTAATGGTTCGTGTGTATTAGTGAATATATTACATTAATGAATGTTACCCATCTGTCCAGCTAATCAAGACAGAAAGCTGAGTGTATCTTTATTCTCTATACACAAATGGAAACAAGTCCTATCAGTTTTCTCTCTTGAGATACCAATTCTGTTCTCTCATTCATGCATTCAGGATCTCTCACCAGGACTACTGCAGTGGCTTTCTACTGTACCTTTTGACCTTCAGCCTTGCAGTTCTCTATCCATTTACTAGACTCATTGTTCCCAAATGCAAATATGATTTTAAAGTCTCTGGCTTCCAATCTTTCAGTAGCTTCCAAATTTGTGGCAGTGGCATGCAGTTGTGCAGGCTAAGTATCCTGAGGAAGGACATTTTCTATTTAGTGATATAAGTGCACCATATAGATTATTAGAGGCTATTACCTAAAATCCAAAAGCAAACTCCAGTCTTCTTAACAATGTATATACAACCCTCCAGGTTTAGGTTTTTGCCTAACTTCTCTACTGGTATCTTGGTTATATTTTCATCCACCTCTACACACAACCTGTGTCCTAGCCTCAACAAAGTCTTCTACTTCCATAAATACATAATGCAGTTTCTTTCTTTTGTTCCTTAATCTCACTCTTCTAGGCCTGGGATGGCTTGGCTAGTCTCTTTCTCATTCCTGTGTACCTGCAAAACACTCACTTAACTTCACAAACTAGTTCCCACATCGCTTG